TTATTAATTTATAGTGATTATTAATTTATCGAGTATTAATTTATAGAGGTTCTACTGTACTCTTCTTTGTTTGTACGTGCATCTGTACTATCACCTAATCCAACTGCATTTTTCCCGGTAGCAACACCTTCTCCAAATATTATTTGAAAATCATCAAAAAATTCAAATGTTTCATAACGTAGGTTTTTATCAGTGAAATGAGCCTATAAAAACAAAATAATATATTAATAAAGGTAAATAGGTAGTATGATAATATATTGTTTGAACGAGATACTTACTTTTAAATAACTATCCCAAACTTCATCAGATGCTGTAAATCTTTTTGTTTGAGGATCCCAGCCAAAACCAGAAGAATAACGTTGAAGATCGACACAACTTTGGTATTGTTGTTTTAAATATTTCATTCTGCTTTGATAATGTTTGTAATCTTTTGGACGACAAACACCTTTGTTGAGATCTGGTTGAAGCTTTGTCTCAATAGTTAGTTTGCTTATGCTACCATTAGAATCACGCCAATTATGGTTGATCCCTTCCACAAAAAGTTGTATTAACAACTTAGTCTCATCTGGAGTCCATGGATTGTAATCATCTGAGTCATCTTCCTCATAAAGTGTTTGTTTCACCATTGATAAACCTAAAATAACAATAAAATAAAAAGTTAAATCAAAAACTTACAGAAAGTGAAATCTGAACATATAAAAGCATGAAGAGTTTGCTAATGGATCAGAAATCAGAGAAGACATAATAATAAACCAATTCACAAAAATTTAACAATAATCAAAGTAAAAAATCTCATTAGTCTCTATAAACATGGCGAAGAAATTAAATAATCAAAAAAAAAAATCAGAACGATTGCTAATCTAGAAAAATATTACCTTTTTTATTATGACTTATGGAGAGAGAGAAGGGAGAGAGATATGTGCTAAGGAAAATAAAGAATAGTGAGAAATTGAGTTTTCATAACAAATCGCTTGATGACTTACGGAGAGAGAAAAGGGAGAGAGGAATGAACAAGGGAAAAAAAGATGTATGAAGAATGAAAAGACAAAATGGAGGGAAAAGAAAAAAAAAATGGAGGGATGAGAGAATGATGTATTCGATCGATTAATACATGGAGGGAAAAAAAAACAAACGTTAATAATTATTTGTGTTGAATTTTATAATTATCAAAATCTGAGGGTAAAAGGTTAGATTTTTATTGCTACATTTAACACATAAAAATAGATTCAAATTCAGTTAAAATCTTTTACTTAAAATCAGTTATAAGAATCTGTTAAACATGAATAACACAAGTTTTAATTGACTTATTCAACTTTTTAATTGAATAACAATGGATTTCCAACTCTATTAATGAAGAGATTGTAAATACATGAACCAATAACTTTAGATTTTGAAAGAGAAATTAAAATCAAATAATGAATAACAATGGATTGTAGATGGATTTAGACTCTATTAAAAACCATGATTGACTAACACCCCCTAAGAATTTGATACAATCGTTGTTGTTAGAAACCAGCTTCTCAAGATTCAGTTGCCTCCTTACAAAGATGTATATTTGTGAAAGATGAAAAACTTTAAGATATTGTAGGTATTACTTATATGATTTGTTTAGAACCATATATAAATCATCAAAGTCTTCTATATGTTCATTATGGTTATAGATTCTGTGAAAGTTATATTCTTAGTATGGAAAATGACAATTTAATATTATATTCTTTTCATAAAGTTAGATTCTGTGATGGTTATGTAAGGAAAAGTCTAATTTTCATAAAGGCAATTTTTTCACTCGTCAGCTGTATCAAAAATATACATTTAAAAGATTTTTGGTAGCTCACCATCACATGGTAGTAAAGACCCAATAAGATAATCATTTTTCACTATGGACCTTGAAACAATACATCTCATATGTAATTTGAACAGAATAATCAATTTCTGCATCCATAAAAGTAAAAGCTAGGATAGAACTATATGCTCTTATATATCGGAGAAACAAAAGCTCACCTAAAAACTTAATTAATCTGGAGGCTCACGATCAGTAGGGAGTAAAACACGACTTTGATTGCAACAAATTGAGAACAATGACCGTTTACTAACTGCATCTGTTTCAGAATTTTCTAATGACCAAACTCAATCATTACAATTAGGACATTGCATTAAGTTATTTTTTGTTCCTTTTTTCGTGGTTTTCCTCCTTTCCTGAAATTGTTTTAATATTATTAGTTCTAATATCTTAAAATAAAACAGTTATGATATTATGATTAGCAATAAAAATACTCTATATTCTAATTTTTTTGGGGATAATGCTATCATTTGATATTGGTTGAAAATCACTATTTATTAAAAATTAAATTTTTAATTTAATATATGTAAATTAACATTTTAAAAGTGCTTTTTAAAATATATAATTTAAGTGAGGTACTATTAATTGAAGATTGTTGTTAGGAGAAACTTTATAAGTCTGTTGAATTTACAGTATTCATTGATTTTTTATACTTTCTTGCAAGCAAATTATTTTTAAAAATATATTATATCAATTTCATTTTAAACTTTTACACCTTTAAATGGAGAATAACACAATAACAATTCAGACATTATCAGCCAAGCTTTAAAAACATCTTACATGAGTAAATTTAAAAGAAATGAAAAAGCCAATGCATAATAACTAAATTTGATCATATTATTGAATAAATAATACTTTCTTTGTTTAGCAATAATGAACTCGTAGATCTTATTTTAATAATGTTAGAAAAACTTGTAATTGTAGTAGATATTTCAACTTTCATGGTGTTTAACAGGTGAATTGTATGTTTGATAAATAAAATGTTTACCCATCTCTTAATAAAAATAAAAACAAAAATTGTGTCTTATTGTGTTATATATATATATATATATATATATATTGGTAAAAAATTGTATCTTTTTAATGAAAATTTGTGCCTCTTTAATAAGTAATGTGTCATGCTTTAATATTGAAAAATAAATTATTTAAATTTTGAATAATTGCAATGGTTTAATAATTATTAACTCAAGAGGTGTAATGGTTGGTAAATTAACCTTAATTTCAAGAGTTGCAATATTTAGTAAATAATTATAAATTCAAGAGTCGCAATGGTTGATAGAATGACCGTAATCTCTAGAATTGCAATATTTAGTAAAATTATCATAAACTCAATAGTTGCAATAATTCAACAAAATAATCATAACACTTAAATCTTCAACATTCATTTCCTATTAAAATTTAATAATTTTAAAAGCAATAATGAAATTTTAACTTTCCTAGCTCTCTCATTTAAAAAAAAAAAACAATTAACTTGGTTTCAAATTTAATAGGGTTTATAGAAAGTTAAACCGACCACTGATCCAGTTACATTAAACATCAATCCTGACTTTGTAGTTCGGACTTCGGAGAAGAAAAATAATAGAAAGATTGAGTTTGCTAAGTCATGATCAATTTAAGTATGTGTTCATTTGGATCCAACTTTTTCAATGATGCAAAAAGATGTTATATAACTCTGCGTTCGATTCTAAGAACCAAATAAAAGCAATTTGACTAAAATTTCCACATATTGGGAATGAAACAGAGGATCCTTAAATTGTTTTGGTTGCAATTTCTTGTTCGCTACAAGACATGCAATAAGCTTTCAAAACCTTATTTTTTGGCAACTTGATCACTCATTACAAACTCTCAGAAAAGCCTAAAGCACTATTCAATAGTCAAATAAACACAAAGCATGAGACACACATTGATTCATATGAAAGGGAAACACACCAAGAACGCGTATATTCAGAACGAAAACAGTAGAAGAAAGAGTTTATGGTTTCTCAAAGAATGATACGGGTCACAAAACAAGCTTAAGATCATCTACAAGTGAGTGAGTACAGAGATGTTCATTATAATCGAACATCAGAGAAATGATTAATTACGTTCAGACCTGTTTCATCATCAAAAAGTAGCAGCACGAACACATACAAAACTGCAATCGAGTTAAGTCTCCGTGTTCACATTTTATGTGAACATTGGAATTTGTTAGTTTGATAAGCTCTTCTTTCTTCCTTTGATTTTGAATAGATACCTTCTATTCATCAAAAACAGTAGCAAAATATGATGATCCTTTAGATTATCAGCCCGGTGAAAACTTAACTATAGTTAATTCTTCTACCTGCACCACTCTAGATTCACTACGTTCGATACTTCTCACTATGTCAATTCATCAAACCTTAGTAACCCGAGCACACAACAATTCATAAGAGATAGGGACTGTAAGCACGGCTTCATGCCACTCGACCTTTCCCCAATTCACTTTATTGTTGCAATAACGGCACTTCAAATCATGGTATTCTGATAGCCACTAGAATGAATATACTTGTCCCACAAAACCACCATCTTTCAACCATATTCCACCAATCTAACAAGACCATAAACTTGCAAACTTAGGCAGACCTTCCAAACCCTTCAAATTTATTCAGGATATATCTACCATTTGATTTACTATACCAATATACCACGTTACCTATGAAGCAATAAGAAATCCCTACCCATCCTTAATCAAAATGAACAAAGACATAGCGTCTATAATGTCTATATATCATAAAACACAGCCTTGGCCAAAGAACCGTACAAATCACCAAATGTATAAGTTTAACACACAAACAGAGGATCCTCAAGTAAATGAACAAAAGTTTCATTTGCAGAAGCAGCAAAAGCTTCAGTATTTTGGAGAGTGTATGCACTAGAAAAACGCTCGTTAAGTGTGTATATTTTTTTAGTTTTTTCCCACCAATATAGGGATAACATTTCTATACCACACAAAAAATTGGCTTGGCAAAGCTCACCCGTATATAATTCCCGTTTGAGAATAAAATAGAGGATTTTCTCAAAGTGTTTCAGTAACAATTTATTTGTTGGTTAGATCAAGACATGAGCATAGATTACCTTAAACAACGAAACCCCCAATGTTTTTGTCTGCGACTTCATCATTCATTACATCATTGGAAAGCCCTAACGATGGTACAATACTATTGCATCATTAAAAGATTCCATTGCGTTCAAGCTTATGAGACAAATACCTCCACCATGAAGATAGTGAAACTATCTATTCAACCAAACGCAGTCTCTCATAGTTACTTAGCAACACAATTGAGCTAACCATCAAAGTTGTACGGTTGAGTTGCACAAAGACACAATCATACAACAAAATGATACCAAGAGTCACTCACTAATTTACCACATTCATCAAACGGTCGCAGAAAGAGCACGCTCAAGATCATATTCCTTGGGAACCGATAGCACCTCGTCACACCACTCGACCTTCCCACAAACCTCTTCTCCGCTGCTGCGCCTCTCAAGCGAAATCACTGCGCACCAAATCATATTGTTCTTGCATTCACTTGAAGGCAGAAGCTCACGCTCGTCCCACAAAACCGCCATCTTTCCACCATGATCAGCCAATATAACGGTGGCATAACAAGCAATCTCAGGCAATCCATCCAAACCCTTCACATTTCTCCACAACGTATCCTTAGTGTTGTACCATTTGACCGCTCCATCGTCGGACTCGTAACGGTACAAAACATCCTCAATCGCGCAATGAGGAGACCACCAAATCCAAGGATCACACAATTCTTGTTGGAAAGTGCCCCATTTACCTTCCTTTGGTTCGTAAGTCACGCCCTTATCCCCAAATAAAAGGTGTAACTTTCCTTCAATAGTACATGCGCTTGTTGGTTTACAATTCCAGTTCAGCCCCTTGCAAGCCTGGGGACAAGCGTGCACAAGATCCCAAATTTGAGAACTTGGGTCCAACACCTCGATCGAGTCGTAGGTATCTGAATCTTCATCTCTGCAGCCTCCAGCTACGTATAGCTTTCCATCGACGACGCTAGCAGAAGGGGACTTCCTCTTTCCCCGGAGGCTTGGACCATATTGCCACGTGTGAGACCAACAGTCGAGGATCCAGACGCTAGACGATGCAGGGTATCCTCCAATGTTGTAGATATTAGAGCCAACCGAGGCCAAACTTGAGAAGACAGAAACAGGAGACTCTAGAACTGGGATTCTTGCCAGAACATACCCACTCGGCTCTTTCTTTTTCTTCTTCTTTTTCTCACTGTTGGTGTTGGATAGGGTTTGGTTAGGTTTCCGGGCAAGAGTGAACCAGCGATGGTTAGACTCAGAAGGGTAGTTCTGTAAGCAAACGTAGAGACAACTCTCCGAGCGACCCAAGAGTGATCGGGTCTCATAAAGCTCCGGTGAAGAGAGGAGCCAGCGGAAGCTCTTGGAGACTAAAGAGAGTGTAGGGTAGTACAATCTCGATATGCGTGCGAAGATGGACACTAGCAAATCATCGGGAAGCACCGGAGGATTTGGGGTCGTCGTCGTCGTCTTCCTCTTCTTCTTCTCCGGGGACGACATTGACGACTGCAATTTGATTTAACAAATTGAAATGGGGTTTTAGGGATTTAGCCTCTTTCACTTCACTGCAAGTCTGTAAGTAATTTTACCGCGTGTCATTCACTCGCTAGGATTGCGCGTGAGCATATTCCCACATATACATGTAATAGGGCTAATCACAGTAATGGGCCTCAAAGGCAAAACAACTTTCTAAACTCTCATGTTAATAAAACAATTAACTTGGTTTTTAGATTTAATGGGGTTTATAGAGATATATATACCGACCACTGATCCGGTTACACTAAGCAACCATGACTTTGTATGTTCAAGTCAATAATAAAGTTTAGTTCGGAGGAAAAAAAATTGAAAGATTGAGTTTGCTCAGTCATATGATCAATTTAACTTTGTGTTCATTTGGATCAAAATTGATTTGAATGATGCAAGAGGTATGTTATATAATTATCGAGTAATACTCTATGTTCGACTTTAAGAACCAAATAAAAGTAATTAGACAAAAGTTTCAGTCGCTTAATTCTAATTCCACATACCTGATTGGGAATATGAAGTAGAGGATCCTTAAAATTGGTTCCGTTGCAATTTCGCATTTGATCATATGAAAGGAAGAAACGATTTTTACGCGCTTGTCTCATGAGTCATTCATTAAACACTAGCCAGAAAAGAGTTTATAATTTCTCAAACAAGCTTAAAATCATCTACAAGTGAGAGAGAACAGAGATGTATATCATAATCGAAACATTAGTGAAATATGATTCTTTATGTTCAAACTTGTTTCATCAGTCGCTTACCAACACAGTAGCAGCAAGAACACAAACGAAACTGTAATCGAGGTAAGTCTTCTCAGTTTTTCACGTTATGTGAACATTGGAGACTTGGAGTTCGTTAGTTTGATAAGCTCGATATTTCTAAATTCTCAGCCCCATGCAAACTTACTCTTCTACCTGCATCACTCGAGATTCGCTACGTTCAATACTTCTCATTATGTCAATTCATCAGCAGCCCGAGCACACTACGAATTCATAAGAGATAGGGGCTGCAAGCACAGCATCAAGCCACTCGACCTTTCCCAAAATTCTTCATTGTTGCATTTTTCAAGCGCAATAACTGCACATCAAATCCTCTTATTCTAATAGCCACTAGGATGAAAATACTTGTCCCACAAAACAAGACCATAACTTGCAAACTTAGGCAGACCTTCTAATTACCCTTCAAATTTATCCAGTATCCTATCCTAGAGTTGTACCATTTGAATCCATTCGACCTATCGAGCAAGAACAAAATGAATTAAAGGCGTGGTGTCTATAATGTCTCTATATAAAAAAAAAACACCATCTTGGTCAAAAGACCATACAAATTTTCATGTGTATGCGTTCAACATACAAACAGAGGATCCTCAAATATATGAACAAAAGTTTCATTTGCATAAGCAACCAAAGCTTCAATATTTTCGAGTGTATGCAATTGAAAAAGGCTCATCAAGTCTGCAAATTGTTTTAGTTCTTCCCACCAATGCAGAGAAAACATTTCTATACAACACAAAAAAAAAAAAAAAAAAAAAAAAAAAAATTGGCTTAGACAAAGTTCACTCGTATACAATTCCCGTTTGAGAGTAAAACAGAGGATTCTCAAATTATATCAATTTATATGTTACTGATATAACCGCACATCAACCCTATAATCTACCATAATCCTATGATAGCAACAAAAGCTTCATTATTTTGGAGAGTGTATGCACTAGAAAAAACGCTCATCAAGTGTGTATACTGCCATAATACTTCCCACCAATTTAGAGATACCATTCTTTACAACACAAAAAATGGCTTTAACAAAGTGCACTCTTATGCAATTCCCGTTTGAACAAAACAGAGCATCCTCATAGTGTTTTCAAAGCCAATTTCTTTGTTGGTCCGATCAAAACAAGGTATTCTGGTGAATTGTCAATATGTCACGCACCATTCTATGCAACACAAACAAAAAATACTTCAAGAGACATTTTGGTCACCGTTACAAAATACAAAAGCTCCAAATCCGCTAAAAACATGAAACAATCATTCATTATAGACAGAATAAATGAACTGAAATTTGGAGGCAATAACCCTTAAAAGCCACTTCTCATGAGCATGCATTTCATCAAACAGAAGCAGAAAAAACATCCGCAATGTACAAGCGAGATGAATTGTGGTCTCTAAACACAACATCCATCCACTCAACCTTCCCCCAAATCTCATCCCCATTGCGCCTTTCAAGAGCAATCACAGCACACCAAACAGTTTTAACAGTGTCTTCAAAACAATCATCATCCCACAAAACAGCCATCTTTCCACCAAAATCCACTATTCCACAAAACTTACGGACGTTCAAATCAGGCAATCCTTCAATACCCTTCAGTATCTTCCACAAGCTTGTCTTACAGTCATACCAACGGAACACTCCCTTATTCCAAAGTTTGAACAAGACGTTGCCTATCACGCCATAGGAAAAGAATATCGTAGCAGCCATACTCATATCCGTTGCTATTGGCTTCCAATTCCATCTAGCTTCCTTCGGATCGTAAGCTACAAACTCACCCCCAGACGTAACCACGTAGAGTTTTCCACCAAGTCCCATGCTTCTGAGTGCAACATCATTGCGTATATCCGTTTCAGGGGTCCACACATTTTCCCAAGTTTGCGTCTTTGGATCAAACACCTCGACCCAGTTGGAGGAACTGACGTCTTCTTCGCAGCCTCCTGCTACATATATCTTCCCATCAACTAAGCTCGCTGTGGAGTCACCGCTCCGCTTCACTCGCATGCTTGGAGCCTCTTGCCACGTGTTGAACCGACAATCAAGGACCGAGACACTGGATGATGAGTGCTCATACCCGCCGGTTATGTAGATTTTGGAATCGACGGCTACGATACTCGACGATCGCACAACAGGCAAACAAGGAGATGGGATTGGGATGAATTGATAGCCACTTGACTCGTTGGTTACGGTTCGGTCAGGTTTCCGACAGAGAGTAAACCAGTCTTGCTGGTTAACAGGATAGCGTAAGCACAGGTAGAGACAATTCTCGGTGCGGTCTAAGCGTGATCTGGTCCGGTAAAGCTCCGGTGAAGCAACGATGGATCTAAAACTCTTGGAGACGAGTGAGAGTGTTGGATAGTACAACCTGGAAATGCGGGCTATGCAATTCAGTAACAACTCGTAAGGAAGTGACGAGAGAGAGGTCGGTTTTGACACCGGCGATGGCTTCTCCTTCTTTCTCGGTGGTTTTGCGCCGTTCGAGGCGGCGGAGAATCTGGCTTTCGTCGACATTTTAGGTTTTTTTTATTTTGCCTGTAAGACCAATGGTGGTTTTTACCAACATTTCTACTACTGTCTCCGTTTGACAAAAGTGTTGTTCTCACACTTTTTTTTTTTTCAAAAAGAATATGATTTTAGAATTCTAATATAATTTTTAACATAAAATACTATTTTTAACCTCAATAAATTTAGAAAATTAATTATAAATATGATTTTAAGAGTCATTTTCTATAAATTAATAAGGATATAAAAGACATTTTATCTTATTTCTTAATTTGTGTGAAAAATGTCAGAACGTCACTCTTTATAAAACAGAGGGAGTATTTTTTTTGATTAAAAAATTCATGCAAGAGAGTAAATAGTTGAAAACGTTTCTTTAGTGGATACGGATGGAAATGTCTCTTCCCCACTTTTAATATTAAAAAATTAAAATAAGAAACTAAAGTAAGTCTCTGCATTGCAGATGAGGAAATTGTACGTGAGGAAACTCGAAACCAACTCTTGGGCTTCTGTGATGGGCTTTAATAAACATGATTTAAAAAAAATATACTCTGTTTAAATGCGTTCGACATACATATTAAATGGTGGAACTGAGGAAAAAACCTTAACTATAATTTTTGAAGTAGCTGCCCCATACCGCGCATGTGAGCGCGCCAAATTTAATGAACCATCTCAACTACCAAACAACATTAGAAGAACAATCAATATTTGATATTTCTGCTGGATTTTGTTACAAATTGACGGTTATTTTTCTTTTGTTTGTTCATACTACATGAGATATAGTTGAGCATGGCTCAAAATTAAATTTGGATTCTGACATTAGTCTATGGTTCGGGAAAACGAAAACATGATTTAGTTGTGCTTAATTTGAATAAACTTTAAACATGATTCACTCTTCTTTACAGATCTTCCTCACTTCAGAGTTCAGTGTATACTTTTATGATGGCAACTACTCATTGATTCATAAGTTTAAGAATCTCCAGAAGCATTTCTTCAAGAAGTAATATCATGACTCTGACTCCACTAACAATATAGGGAACAAAACATTTACCATATACAAGATTTCCAAACCATTCAAAAACCTGACATTGATATGGCAAGATGATTGTCATTAAACCAAGTCGTAAAAATGAGTAACTTTGATTAAAGAGCATGATATAAAACAAACTGAACATGGAAATAATAAACCAAAAAGATGGTTTCGTTTGGTTAAAGAATCAACCAAAAACTTCTAATACACATTTGCTTTTATATAAATAAACAAATTTTTAAAAAAAAAAAACACATTGGCTTCCCCAAACGTTTAGATCATCAACCAAATCTTCTTACGGAAACATCAAGAGAAAGAAACAATATTTAAAACATTCCTCAAACTTCTACTTAGATAGATAAAACAAAGCTCAGAAAAGAAATAATAAAAAAACACTAACCTAACCATCTAGCATATCCACCTCAGCAAACATATCTTCTTCGCTTTTATAAAATTATAGAGGCCCATCGTAAACTGTGAGAATTACTCCCTCCGGATTTATTTAGTTGTCCTTTTAAAGTTATGCATACAGATTAAGAAAATATTAATTGTATTAGTTTTTTAATATAAAAATATCATTAATTAACTATTTAAACACAATTCAACCAATAATAAAACAAATTGCATAATAAAAATAATCTTAAAAGTAAAAAATTAATAAATGTTACATCAAAAACTGAAAACGACAACTAATTTAAAACAAACAAAATTCTCTAAAACGACAACTAATAAAAAACGGAGGAAGTATAAAAGAAAAATGCCAATACAATTTTAAATTCGTAGCAACACCATCATCAGTCAAAACGTGAGCCAGTACTCGAGTCTCTCCATAGTTCCGTTTTGGCTTAAGATTCCGTTTTGGCTTAAGCCTATTCATTTATCCGTTTTACTGTGAAAGTGTGTTCTGTGATACTGAATGTTTTGGCTTAAGATTCAACATTAGTACTCAATGATGAAGTAACCGATGAAAAGATAAACCAAATTTTCAGTTTGCCTTTTCTTTTGGTTTTTCTCATTTATATAGGAAACAAATGGAACTATTCGTTCCTCTTACAATGCTGGAAACAAATTACATAATGGGGAAGTGGAAATCATGAAAAGACGACGTCAGCCAAGAAACTAGAAAACATAACACACTCTGTTTATTTGCTAAAACAAAGGAAATAAGAAAAAAGATGAAGAATAAGTCAAACCGGTCCATCTTGGTACTTTGGATTGGGTTTACTCCGGTTATGATCTCATCATCTGCCTCCGGCGGAGTAACCTCTGCCGTCAATGGAATAGAAAATAAAAAGGAGCGAGTGAATGAAGGCATGATCAACGTTTGGGTAAGGCGTCACAGAGTAATTGATTTTTCCCTCAGGCTCCACCTGTTTTACAAAAATAAGAAAGTTATTCATTTTTATTTAAACCCAACCAAAGTATTCCAAGTAAATGTTGCTTTTATATATTGTTCCTTCCTTTTGATTTGTATAAGTCCAAAGTTGTAAAAATTCATAAAACAGTAAAACACATTTGAGAGAGGAACAAAAGGAGAGGCTTACTTGGGCAACAATGGCGTCAGATTCACCGGCGTAGACAACACAAGAACGCTTATAAGAACCCCCTTTGACTCTGAAATCACATCTCTTCTCTTCCTTATTGTGACTCATAAACACATCAAGTTTGACCTTAACCTGAACCAACGACGATTTCTTCACTGTGTACAGCAGATCACACTGTTCTGTACTCTCTCCTCTAAATACTTGCCATCTGCTATGCAAGCTCATAGACTGCAATTTTATACGGATTAATCAGTTACAGTAATAATTATATCAACATGTTCTTTTCTTCATTTACCAACTTGTGTGTGTGTGTGTGTGTTTATGGACCTTTTCTCTCAAAGTCAAGAGCGGAGTTCCAGAAGCATCCACTAAGATCCTCATGTCGCGAGTTAGTCCAGAAATATTCTTCATGACCATGTTCCCGTTTTCGTCCGATATTTCCAAGTTACCTTCCGATACCTTCTCTATCCCGTGACTCAGATGCTGAACATTATGCCCCACTTGATGCAAAGCATGCAGCAAAGTATGCTCCATTTTCTTCTTTCTCCTCAAGAATGGTATAAACTCTCTCTATTTTCTTTTCTTTTCTTATTTGGTGGATTTGTTTCCGTCTGGTTAGTTAAGCGGAGAAGACAAGTTTCAGGGATTTTATAAGAGGATGAGGAGGAAGATAAGATTCAAGAGAGAGAACTGAGGTTTTTATAAATGGGACAATTAGGAAAAAGACCAAGACCCGAAAAAAAAACTAGGGTTGATTTTTCAAAGTCATCGTCTTTTGTCGTGAGAAACATCACTTTCTAAAAAAGTTGTGTAAAAATTTAAATATCAAAGAAAACAAAAAGTAGTAGTGTCAAATCCTGAAAAATCCAAAATAAGAGTCCAATAACCACACACAAGTTGTTAAGACCATATCTCCAATGGTTGCCTCTATTTTTTTCCTCTATAATAGAGAAACTTTAAAATAAAATAGAGGTACATTTGTCTCTAATGGTTACCTCTATTTTTCCCTCTAAAAAGGAATATTCTTAATATATTCTATTTGTTATTTGTTCTTAACACCTTTTACTAATAAAATTTATGAATTGTCCTCACTTATTTTTTTTAATAAAAACTTACATAAATTATAATACTACTAACTTTGATAAATAAAATTTGTGAATTAATCTGTTATTTTACTATTTATAAAAGTTTTTATAAATTATAGTGATAGTAACATTTGATTACTAAAATTTTTAAATTAATCCCACTTATGTTACTTTTTATGAAAGTTTCAACATACTATAATAATACTAAAAGTTAAAATTCATAAATTAAAAAATTAATTATTGTTAATTTTCGTTTATTTTTATGTATTTTTAATTTGCAATTATTTTTTGTAGTTTAGTTTCAATGAGAATTTTTATATTTAACAATACCATATGTTTTTTTTTAACTATAACCAAAATTATCACATTTATATTCATAAAAAATTATACTTTTTGCATAAATAGAAAGATTTAAAAGTTAAAGGACTACTTTACAAATAAAAAAATTCACCTTTATTATAGAGGGAAAAATAAAATCTCTCTATTTTTGGAGGAAAAATAGTAATCTCTATTTTATCTGTAAAATAGAGGTGAGTTGGAGATGCCTGAATGAGGAAAAGATGTTGATATAATTAAAAACAATCATATAGTACAAAGTACAAACCTAAAAAAACTACTAGAAAACTACTAGCCCAAACAGTGGGGGAAAGAATCACAGTACAAACCTAAAAAAACTACTAGCCCAAACAGTGGGGCAAAGAATGACATGCGTACCTTCTCACTTTCATACAGTTTGTTTATCTACAATATATATATATATATATATAATATATATATATATTATAGATTCTTTAGCCGCTTGATTACTTTGACTATACAAACATTTCTTTTCTTTTTTGTGATAATATGTGAATTTATATACCAAAATAAAGGAACGTTAAGTTACACATGCTTAGCATAGCAAAGAGTTAGTTAAAAGCCCAAAAATATTAAAAAGCCCAAAACTAAAAAAAGAACTATTACAAGAAAACCTCTAAAAATTAATAATATCAGAATTATGATATATTATTAATTTATTGTGATATTTATTATCTATAATTATTAATTTATAGAAAAGAATTTTTTTAAAAAATGTCATATATAAACTTAAAATTAGGATTAGTAATCATAATAATCACAATAGAATAGTTGTTTATATTTGTTAATTGTGGAATGAATAATTTATGTAAGAATAGAAATGTTCATTAGTACAAAATTTATAAAAAAAAAGTATGGCCACTATCCTTAATTTTGGTGCTAAAATTAAAGACAATATCATGATATATTTCAAAATAGTTATACGTAAGAAAATCAATAATCACATCTAATTTTTTTCACAAATTTTGAATGGAAATAAAAAAAACATTAAAAGTTATTGATGTAAATAAGTTAAAATATGATTTTTCATAAAATTTCAAACCTAAATAAAGAAAAATAACACATTAAAATATGTTTTAGTATATTATATCTTATTTATATTTATATAATTATTAATTTATATTTATGTTGGGACCATATATTTACATAGAAATTTCAAAAAAATTATTATTTTATTTTTTTATCAAATTTAATGGATTTTTATATTGACTCGATTCGAAATCAGAGAAATTTATTAATTTATAGTAATTAATAATTTATCGAATATTAATTTATAGAAGTTTTATTATACTTAATATGTGAACTAGGAGAATAACAATGTAGTGGGATTTCTCCGATTTCTAGCCAACATAATATCTCTAACCGAGCAATCAATCAACCTAAAAATGTTCTCTCAGGTTGAGGAAGTACCTTCAAGAAGACGTAGATCGTAGCTTGAGCTGCCAAGCGCTTGACCAGAGTTGACCTGAGTTGACCAGACTGGATTCAAAACCCATGGTTAACACTAGTGGCTTGAGAGCACATTCATTAGTGATTCCCTCTATGGGATCATTAGATTAAAATATTAGTTTTTTGAATTTTGAGTGGAGGGATGAACTTGAACTATTTTTTAGGTTTTATTAGTGAATCCCATTATGGGGTCATCCCAAATAAATTTTTTTTTTTTGAAATTTAAATAATTTAATTTTAGAGAAGAATTTAAACACAGAATTATTATAAAACAAAAATACAATTTATTACAAGTAGATAAAATATTAAAATTATAAAAAATATTTAATTGTTTTTTTAAGAAATACCAAATTTATTAAGAAACATACAATAGATAATGTTCCCATATAATATACAATATCCTGTTTCAGCAAGCGATGAGGAGTTTCTGTCACAGCTATTCTTTCAGAACATCACATAATTTTTTTTGAGGAATTAACCAATCACCTGGTAGCCAGTGCTATGACCAAGCTGAACAATGCCCTCTCGGAGTTCTCTTTGTTGATGAGATAGCTTATAAGTTGGTCGATCTCTTGCGCTTCCTTCATCAAAAAGAACAAGAATATCATGCTAAGTAAACTGCTGATTGGAGAAAATTCATAGTCTTTCCCCATAATCTAACAATATTACAAGGCAAGATGATTCCATATCAGTTGAGAGTTGACAAACAAACCAACTCTTACTTGTTTCAAGCTGGAACGGGCAATATGGAACTGAAACGGCCAATATGGAAGACAACAAGCATCTAGAATTTTTCTTTATCCAGAGCAATTGCAAGAGGTTCCAAGTAACTGAAACGGCCAATATAGAAGACAACAAGCATCTAGAATTAGCGGAAACAACCGAGGGGAAGAAGAAAACACTGCAGAATTTATGCGAGAAGATAAAGATTTAGAGCAAAGGAAGAAGACGCATACTCAGTAGCTAAGGGCAACTTCATTGGTGAACCCCATATAGGGTTTGTCATGAATATTTTATTAATAAAATTTGGAGAAATTAAAAATGATAAATCCCATCTATTTTCTCCCACCATTGGTGAATCTCTGCAAGAGTTCTTAGGAAAAAAAATATTTTTTTTATGTTAAAATCGAAAATAATAATTAATATATTATGATATTGAAAAAATATGATACATGATTTGCATTACATTATTAAATAACATAGACAATAAAAATATTGAAAACATAAAATAGTTATATGGAATTTAGCCAAGTGTCTCCCAAATATGTTCAACTAAATCAGCCTTCAGCTGATCATGTATCCGTTTGTCTTTTACTTTTTTCGGTTGCCAATCAAATTGGTGAAATTAGTAGGCATAGTCGTAGAATACGACCTATCGACCTGTGATGTTCTGCTCCCTTCTCCGTGCTCGAAAGTTGTTAAATCGATAAATGATTGACTTCCTCGTTCATTCTCTACGATCATGTTGTGTAGGATGATACCGGCGGAATCACACACCCAGACAACCCCTGCCCTAATTTGAAACAAACTCAAATCCCAAATTTTACCCCCAAATCAAAAACCCTAATTTTCATTTAGCTAAAAGCTTCAATTCAAAACGATAAACAACTAAAATTGTTCAAGAACGTACCTCGGCTACGATTTCTACAGAGCACAACCCCAAAATTGTCTTCTACACTCGCCGATTTTCGATAATTTGTTCGCAGGAAGAGAGGTTTTTTTTCGGAGAAAACGAAGAAGGACGAGAAATGTTTTCTCGAGGTCTCGCGTGAAGAGAGAGAAGAGAGAAGGCTAAAAAAAATAACCAATCCTTTGTTGCCACGTCACGGACGAACTCGCCCAGAATCGGTTCCAAAAATTCTTCGGGACGACCCGACTCGTCCGTCTTTATTAGTTTTTCATTTAAATTAAAAAAAAAATCATGAACCTCTTAAGAGGCGCCGATGGAGATGCCCTAAAAGTCCATCAGTTAATCCACCAATAAATATCACTTGTTGTTTATACTCTCCTGTCTTAAAAGCCACCTGCAAAGACATGTGAAACAGAAAAGCAAGCTGTTACTACCAAAATTTAACCTAGAAAACCAGTTGCCATGAAAATTCACAAACAAGAATCTGCAGAGCTTATGCAAGAATATTTCTGGATGTTCATAAAGGAGCCATATTTGATCACTGCTGTTATAAGTGGTCAACTAAAATCATCTCAGTTGATGAAAAAACCTGAAATCGAAATCTCACAAAGCTTGGAACGTTGACCTAAATCACCTAAAATTTCATTACTTTTCCTCATCAATTCAACAAATCTCCAAAGAATCTTAACATGATCAGAAAACAAGGAATCAATTTACGATAGGTAGCAAAAAAAGTCAAAGTTAGCAAACAAGCTTGTCATAACACAATTGTTTGCTAAAACTGTCACGAAGCAATATAACAAACAAAAATTTTAAATATCTAGAAATTCTGAAGAAGCTACTTTGAAGTTTAAGCCACCCCGGAATCAGGAAATGATATTTTTTTTTAACGAAAATTTCCACCTTGTTGCTTCGAAGTAACTCAAAAGCAATGCAAAATTAAGTAATTAGAATCGAAAGGAACCTGAATGGATTTGGGACCGTATTTGAACAAAATTCTGCGAAATTGGTTCTTCCCTTTGATGGGTCACCGTAATTCCCGCTTCCGCCTCCCGCCATGGAAGCACTTTTCGAAAGCTTCGCGTTGCCGGTGAAATCGCACCAAAAATCGCCTTCGCAGTCTAGGAGAACAAAAATTCGGGTGAAAAAA